TGGGGCCGGCCCGGGGCAGGACGGTGCCCCCTTGGCCCCGCTCGGCTTTCTGAGCTGGCGGGATGAGGGTTGTTGCTGCCGGAGAGCACCTGCGGAGTGAAAATCGGCTTTCGGGAGGGCGAATTCCCCCGCCCGCCTTCCCCCACTGTCCTGGGGCACAAGGCACAGCCTCACCCGGCCCAAACCTGGGCGGAAAATAGCTGCGTCGTCTCAAATTCCCGAGAGAAAGTGCACATAAAGAGTAGATAAAATAGCCTGTTGGATTGGGAACTGTTAGGTGGTGTGCTATATGGAGAACTACTAGCAAATATTCCGTGAGATTTTATGGGTTTTGGAAGGTTATGCCCCCTATTCGCTACGAAGCACCCCTTAGAGTGGCTGAAAAGCATTTTAACACCCCTTCGAATGAGGTTATTTGCAAAGATGTGTTAATGTGGTTGCTTTCCTCGCGGTTCTGTGCATCCGTGTTTCTGTTCCCTTGCGCTGTCATTGCCACAGCGTTTGTGATCGTGTTCTTTCCTATCCCTCATCCCAGCGAATGGTGTCTCTTAGGTGAAGAGTTACAGTCATTGTTGTATTTTGCTTTAAAAACGTTACCCTAGGTAGTTATTTCAGGATAGCGTCTTCCAAAAAGTGAACTTTTTTTCTACTGGAGTGTTTCGGAAGATTTTAAATCTGCAAGTACATCTGAACACTTCTGAGCAATGCAGCCCTAGTTCTAATATCTCCCTCGGGATGTCGATACGCAGCGTCTTTTGCAGTTGGTAGGTGCAAGAAGAAAATCCCATTCAGGATCAGAGCAGGCACTGCTTTGTGGCTCCTTTTCCAACCTCTACTCTGGTTTGTACCCAACTGCCCTCGGTCCCTGACTGTTCTGTAACTCAAGAAACGTTCTGGACAGGGAAAATCACCAGCTCCGTCTCTGCACCTGAGTCGGAACGGAGATTTTTTTGTCTGTATGTCTTCCAAAAGGTTCATCCGCCAGCAGAATGCTCTCTTTGTGTTTAAGATGTTGCAAAAGTTAAAATATTTTCTGGCTTAAGGACACATTTCTCAGTATTTGGGCAGGACCAAGAAGGTCTGGGATGGATCCAGGCAAAGCTCACTGCCTTAATCCCAGACACAGTCGGGAAAAAGCAAAGATGGAATCAAATTCTTCCTGGCGTGCAGAGACCTCAGCGAAAGAACGGTAGAGAGCTGTATACAGTGTATCAGGTGCTAGTGGGAAGAAGCACAGAATATGAGAAGTAAATTCTAAGGAAGGAGCTGCGTGCTTTCCCAAAACAGATTGCTTTTTCAGCAGACAATGTGTAGTATCTGGACCTCTAAAAAAAGGGGAGATTTTGGCTTCCCAGAAATGTCTCTCCTCATAGCCTACTGCACGTGTCTCCGCGAAGTTACATTAAACCAATGGTGCAAAAGCTGCAGAGGAGGCTGAAATTCACGGTCTTAATTCTCAAGTATTCATTTGTGTATTGCATAATTAGAATTTCATTGTTCTAAGGCAGCTATTTAAAATTAAGGTTATTAAATCAATAATAAATTTAAAGGTCTGAGAAGAAATAATGAGAAAGGATATTTCCATCCATATGGAAAGATTTCCATCAAGAATTATCATGCTTAAATGATAAATTCCATTAAAACTAGCATGAGTTTACCATTTTGGGCCAGAATATTTTGTGATTGTGGATGGAGTCAACAGTAACACGTATGTTTTCCTGTAGTTTAACGTTCCTCTGGTGCTAGGCAGAGCTGGTAGGTGAGCTTGCCCTGTAGGTAAGCTTCCTGAGCACTTTCAAATCATCAGACCTTTTTTTCAGTTTGTTATTATTTTGTCAGACTTACTGGGCTGAAAATAGCTGACCTTAGACACAGGCAAAGCTTTTCTGGAGTGTTACAGCAAAACCAGCAATTGTCATTCTGAGAATGAAGTTTGAATGAAAGCTTATACTAACAATTATTATTTTTTCTTTGTTTACATCCTAGTAAGGAAATCCAGTTTTCAGTGGAAAATTTAGCCAAATCACCTCTTAAATGCCTGTGATTTGAGCAAGTCTGGTCTGCAGGGGTAACTTTTTCACAGAGAACACAACATTTACTTCTTGTATATATGTCCATAAAAATGATAGTTTTATTTTCTCTACCCTTCCTAGAGTCAGACAGCACATCAGTTACACTCAGACATGTAATAAAATATTTTAATTTCTATTATTGATGATGGCACTTATTTTCAGTTGTTTTGCAGAATGGGTAAGGAAAAGAAAAGAAAGAAAGAAGGAAAGAAATTAATCAACCAGTGTTACACAACATGAGATTTGTAAGCAGTAACTAAGGAAATATTAGCACACTTCTAAAAACGAGGAAAGAGTACACGAAGAGCTGGGTGACATTTTAAAGTGATGTGCATAATAATAAACGTATAATTTGATCTTTAGTAGGATTTATAACCCTATTACAAGTGAGTACAGTCAGCTGTTTTAAAGATCTATCAAATGATGATCTAATTAAACTGTGGAGGAAAAGAAAATAAAGACTTGTCTCGTGTCTACCTTGATTTATTAATGGGAGAGGTAACCGATCTTAATTGTTTCAGGAGTGATTCAGTTACAGGAAAGAAAACTAATGAGGGTGCTGTGTGAAAGGGAGAATTCCAGTAAAGAATAGAAGACAGGAAGAAACTTTTACCACGGTTCGTAAACTGCTTGTGCTGTAGCTTGCTTGGAAAACATTTTAATAACACACATGACTGACCTGTGATTCTTCAAGGGCTTTTCTTCAGATTCCAGTGAGGGATAAGTTCTCAGTAAGGTCAACTTGCGTGGACAGGAATCGCCTGGAGGCTCCTGGAGGCGACTCAGAAGCACAGTGGTGGCACAGTCAATCACCCTGACTTCCATCCGCCCTTAGAGGATGGAAGATAAAGCTATTGTTACCTGCCTGGGAAGCCTAAAGCCAGATCAGATTAAATCTTCAGGCTTTGAAAGGCTGTAGGATTCTCATACTGTGCCTGGAAGAGATGAAATCTGTTCTTTCACTGGGGCGTCTTCTCCATTTAAAGGAGGGGAATTACCTGATTTTGAAACTGTTTTGTAATTGTGGTTATCTGGACAATGACACAAAAAAAATGTGGGAGATGGTGTATTGTTGCGTGATTTGGACCAAAGTGTGATTGTTACACCATGCAAAGCACAGAAAAACCTCAGAGCAAATAGTGAAGATCAGAATATTCAAGTATAAGATTATAGAGCTTTGCTTACACAGAGCTTTTTTTTTTAATTCATTAATATGTAGAGGCAAGCATTAAGATTAACTGAGTCATTCAGTATAACCTGAAATTCCATTCACAGCATCAGTGGGTATTCGTTTTTAAAAGCAAGGTGCAGAGATAGGTATGTTTTAAAGGTCATTTATTTATAAACATTTTAATTTTTATTTTCCCCTACTTTGATTTCCCAAGCACTTCCCTGAGCCAGAATGGCCGTTCGGTAGGTTGCATACAAATAGGCCGTTAGCCAGGACTTTATTGTCCCCGTCTTTAGCAGGAGACAACTCAGCTGCCAGATCAGACTCTGCCTTATCGCTGAACGAGTCTTCTTTTTATAAAAAAAAAAGTGCTGTAAAGACTTCTTCAGATTCTGATGCTTCATTTTACCTATTAGCAATTTTGAGAGGGTTTTTTTTAAGGCCGCAACGTCATCTAGATGTCCAAAAATATGTTTGTGAGTTGTATTTATTAAAATTTAGCGTGCTAGTCATGCAGATTGACTTAAAATTGACTTAAAATTGGCTTAAAATGTGTAACTAAGTACCTACTCATTTCCATACACACTTTTGCTGTGGTCTGCATGTATACCTGCAGCTACCTCTCATGCATTTGAGGGAATTATTAATTTCATGCATAGGAACCCTATAAATTGGTATCCTGTTTACAAAAGACCTTTGGATAATCCTCGCTCCTCCTGAGGTAAGATTTTGATCCTCTCATGTATCTGACACCCCATTTTTTTTTTCAGGTTGTTAGGTTTTGTAAACATCAGTGAAGCTAAAAAGTAAAAATCCAGAGAGAAAGCATAAACGTATTCTTTTCCCCTGTTTTTATATCTAGAGTAGATGCCTAATGTGCTCATTAATTTATATTTATTGTCCCATATGATGAATTAAATTTGAGAGTGCCTTGTCGTTGTTACTAAGACTTCAATATGTTTTTCAGTAGAAGTAGCTTCGCATTATATTGTGATTTATCCTTGTTTTGCCATTAAAAGTACTTAACTTTTTTTTCTGACATACTTGTTAGACATTCCATGTTGACCCTTGAAATACCCTTGCTCCACAGTTCTTGAGTGCTCTCCTGGTGGACATCAGATCCTGCAGAGCCCTTACCGAAGCGTCGATTTCGATTCATCCCACCTCCAGCGATCGGCCATTCAGGAGTTAATATGTGACCATTCCCTAACACCGGGATGGTATCGCTTTATGATTTTTGACAAGCCCGCTGAGATGCCCACCCAGTGCGTGGAGGTACTGTAACAAGTCGTTTTGATTCTGAGAAATACCTGTTTTTTCTTCAGAAGTTGTCAGTAGGGTAGACGTAACAAAAAGAATGCAGTTATGGAGTTTCTGTGCTCTCTAGATATTCGAGTATATTAAAATGTGTCAAGTGGACAATTAAAAAATTGAAAATTTTACACTGAATGGGCAGTAGCAGCGAGTGATATATTACATCCTTTTTAGAGCACTCAGAACCTTCATTTATAGTCCCTGCTAAAGAAGATTTTCTCAGCGGCAGCACAGCGGGGCTATCGCGTCGTAAAGCTGCACCGATGTGATGGTCAGTGTGTTGGGAAGGCTGCGGAAAGATTTGCAGCCACATGAATCCAGTAATCGTGGAGCTTTTAAAGTGGTCATGTTAGAGAGATTATTCCTACAATGACTTGAGCTAACTGAAGATTAGTTGCCTTGTCACCTGCAAGTCCCCTAAGGCTCCAGAATTACTTAGAATATTTAAAATTTTAGACTTGTGATCCTTTCTTTTGGAGCATACCAGCATCTCCGGAATTGTTATATTCTAAGCAGATGTATCTTTGTAGTTTCCTGTTTTAAAATGTTTCCTTGTTAAAAGTCAGAATGTTTTACTTGTGATTTTTCTAATGAATTGAACTTGCCCAGTTACATTCTTTAAAAAAAAAATAAAAAAGACCAGCTCAATTATGAAACACCTTTAAAGGAATACAAAACAGTTAAAACATACTAATAAAATTAATTATTTTTTTTATAGCAGGTTCTCTCTTTTTTTTTTTTTTTAAACTTAGACTAAGCATTCTAATCACAAGGTGACCTGAGACCTTGTTTATCAGGTCAGAGAAAGGAATACTTGAGGTGATGTGTGAAGGAGAGGTTCTCAAAACCTCAGGTCTATAGTTTCCATGTAAATATTTCCCAAATACTGGCTTTAACACACTGTGTCCTTGTAGGTGTTCCTTTTCAGTTTGCTTCCTGCAGCACGTGAAAGACAGGAGGTGATCTTTGACTCATTCTAGTAACCCATCAGCCAGGTTCCTTCTTTGTCTGCTTTTCTCGGGATTCAATTTTGCGTGTTCTGCTGATAAACTCTGGTGTCTGCTAAATCAGAATTACGCTTCGGTTACCCTGCTGGGTGCTGCTGTTAAGTTGTGACCTGCGTGGCAGCTTCCTCCATCTGAAGACCTCACACAACCACAGTGGTGAGGGGTGAAGGAGGCTGTTCCCCAGCACACTTCTCCATGAGGAAAAGCACTCAACAAGGCTTGTGTTTGGGAGAGAGGGAACAATGGCCTTTTTAAATCCCCGGTGGAATCAGTATCCGAACCACAGACCTTGTGAAGCGCACTCCTTTGTGAACCCCAAAGGATTTAGGGTTGCTACAGACTCACTGTGGTTGTTACAGGGAATCCTACAAGTGCACCTGTTTCTAAAGGTGCCAAATTGAAGTCGGACGGGGCTTGTCAGGAGTCTTGCGTCTTTGGCTACGGCTGCAAATCATCAGCTGGCCGCGTCTTTGAGAAGAAATGCAGGAGCTGAGCCTCCAGTCCATGGCAAAGGACAGATGAAATGTTTCAGCTTTAGCACCTTTAGTTGACATTCGGTGTTTGTGTGTTCTGCCCTGTGTTTGCTGTGCTCTGATAGCACTCCCACAGGCAGTTACCGTAGGTGAATGGGTGTGTGGCGTGACTCACTAAGCCAGAACGTGACTGTTAAGCTTTTTTGGGCAAAACACTCAAGTGTGGCTTCCAGTTAAGTTCTTCAGGCACTAAATTGTAGGCTGTCTTTAGAAACACAAATGCATTAGACTCAAAGAAGGACTGAAATGTCTTTGTATTCAGCTAAATATACACTTTTGTGAATATTCACCTTCAACCTTGAGGAGTAAAGTAAGCCAGCCTTGAGTTATAGCATCTAAACTTTGCTAAAAGCTTGTGCTAAAATTGAATACCCATGTAGCTCTCCTTAAAGCACAGCTCAGTCTGGTGTAGCCTTAACCATTTTCTGCTGTTCTTCTCTGGTGCTGCAGATGAATCACTGTGGCACTCAAGCCCCTGTCTGGTTGTCTCTGAGGGAGTCGGAATCCATGCCTCGACCCGGGGAGATCAAACAGTTAACAGCTTGTGCTACGTGGCAGTTTTTCTTCAGCGCTTCAAAAGACTGCTGTCTCTTCCAAATCCCTGTGAGTGTGAGGAACTGTGGAGATTTCTTTGTTTACTTGCTGCAGCCCACCCAAGGATGCATGGGGTATTGTGCAGAAGGTAAGAAAACGCGTCCTCTAACTCGATGAAGTGTGTGTGTTTATCACTTAGCATGTTTCTCTGATATTTGGCTGAGCAGAAATGTCTGGAAATAGTTACACGTGCTAAAATTTCTTGCAATCCTTACTTCTAATAGCGATACAACAGCAAAATTATTTCGTATGGTAACATAGGTCCTAAGTAATTCCCTTTAACACTCAGGTATTCTTCAAAGCCTAGAAACTTGAGAATTGAAATTTTCCGTATAGTGAGGTGAGGATGTAAGACACATCTAGAAGTCAAAATTCAGACTACCTACAATGACATGTGTACTCTGCAAATGTCCATTACTGAATATGCGTAGAATTACGTGCTAGAGTAAATATTGTTTAAAAACCTGACCAAACTCTATTTGTATCAATTATTGTTTAGTGTTGTTAGGAGCATTTTTCTTGCTTTCTTTTATCATCTTTCTGGAGATGATACACATTATTGCCAGAAGAAAAATCAACACAGAAGTGCTCCACTGATACCCACTCTATTAGTACTGTGAGAAAGAGCTGGAGTCCTTTTGCAATGTCTCGGGTTGTCTTGGACCCTTGTGCTACCAAAGTGTGTTGATGTTCACAGCTCAACGCTTATTTCATTAAGGAAGGCATGTTTGAATCCTTACAGTTATAAATACTGTCCAGTAGAGGCAAATCGATGTAGTAGGAAATTCTTATTAGCTCATAGGCATGTGAAAATACGCCAATATTTTTATGCATCAGGGACTGTATTGCGCTAAGTCACGTTATCTGTTACGGACTACTTTAAAAAGCTTAAGAGCAAAGCTATCAGTGGGTTTTCTGGTGCTTTATTTGCCCGTCATTATACCTTTAGATCCAATTGTTAAGGCATTCTGCAAGGGTTTATTGCCAGAAATGGGATATTTCAGCATGCCAGTGACTGAAGCAGTGAAGAACTCCTGCGCTGTAGGACTTTGCAGTTACTTCGGATGATGGCCCTAAGAGAGGAGGGATGACCTAAAACTGGTAGGCAGCGAGCTAGCAAATTTTTACTGCCTCAAAACAGAGCGGGCAAGAAAGGTAGCTCTGGTTTCGCTCTACTGTATAGTATCAATCTGAATCACGTTTTGAATTTAAAAGCCTTCTTTTAAAATTATGTTTTCCTGTGAAGCGCATTCTACTCTTGTGCAGCTTTTTGTACCCAGGGTACCGTGTTTTCTCTTTAACCCTGAGAGCGAAAACACTTGATGCAAATTTTCAAGTAGCCTCTCCTCTGTGTGCTGAGGAATTCACGTGTTGTATCACTGAAGCATGGGACATCAAAATCTATTCTTCTTTCTTTGTGGTGAATGGCTTTTCCAGTGTTGCTGCTGCCCGTTTGACTTAGTTTGAGTAGGATGACAAAGCTCTTTACACCACTGTTACAAACGTGCCGGTATTTCCATGTTTAATCAAAGTTCCACTTTTCTTTTTAGCAACATCCGAAGTACCAAACAATAGCAGCGCACGAGCACTTTTTCTTAGGCCCTTGGAGGAAAGATGATTTTTTTTTCAAAGCAGATCCGCTCTGAATTGGACTGGTTAGAGTTGCACTTACGAATAAACGTTCAGATGTGAATTTGGGGAGACAAAATATGTATCAAATAGTTTAATTCCTTCTTATTCACTAACAACATCTCTGAAGTATCGGGTGGGTATGTCTCCAGTACGAAATGTAGAGGTGGTAGAATGTTCTGTACCCTTCCTCCGAGGTGTAGCAGATTACCTGTGATTTCCAATACAAGGCTTTATGCTGACTGCCACTGTTCAGATTACAAGGTTGCTTCTGTTCTGCTAATTTGCATTTCAGTGTCTTGGTGTATTTTTAACATAGGGCGATAATTTCAGAGAATTGGTGTGTATTGGTGAATGTACAATTTAAGAACAATTTATAGTTGTTTCAGGTGCAAAGCTGCTGACCTGCAATTCTGAGGGAATGGAAGTTCAAGGGGCCTGTAGTAGTGAGTATTTTGTTTTGATTTTCAAGGTACTCTGTGCATCTACGAGCCAATAATGTCAACATTTAGTCATGTTCTGTCTTCAATAAAAACATGTTCATGTTATCAGAAGTACTGTTCAGTGTGTTGCAGTTTCAGACCTTGGATTATGACTGTCTCAGCATAAGAGAATAAGTACTAAAATGTTAAATAGTAATTTTAATAATGCTGGTTTACAGATTACTTTGATTCTTTGGGAGTCAAATATAAGATGAATCTAAAAATGATACCGTTGCTTATTCTGTTCCTTTTTACATAGCCCTTTTTTTTTCCCTTTTCTCCTATTTTCAAAAGTACAGAAAATACTCTCTGTCAGGCAAATTCCTTTGCATGTTCTTTTTTGTTTTGGTTTATTGGTTTGGTTTGGCTTTTTTCCCCTCTTCAGTACCTTCCTATTGGCTTAAATGTAATCAAAGGCTGATAAAGTGTTTTTTTCTCCTTTTACTAACTAATAAAAGGAACATACACATTTTCCTCTAATTCTCTAAGCAATTGTGTAATATTTCCCCGTATGAAAAAAGCTAAATATTATCAGTGCATTTATTGGCAAAATGTATGTCAGTACCATTTTATTTAATGCTGGTTTTAATAAAAAGCACAAACCACCCTTCTTTTTGACCAGGTAACCTGTCTCCATCATCTCCATCTGTGTCACCACCACTACCAGCCGTTCCTGAAGTTGTAGCAGAACTGATCGAAGGCAACATTTACCTGAGATGTACCTTTGGTGTTCCTTTTGCAAACAGCTCAGTCAGATTCATTGTAACTTGGTCACGGCTTTCTCCTGAAGGTATCAAAGAAGAAGTGAGACGTGAAACAGCAGTTCATGCCTTCTCACTGCTACAACTAGATGGGATTAGCATCAAGCTTGGAGACAGAGTAGGTTAAATCATAATTTCTTTACATCTTTGTAAACGTGACTCAGTTGTTAGAATTCAAGCACTTTGCTGTTTAATTTTTCTTGGCAGAAGCATACTGCCTCTAGCTGTTTACACCAACAGTGCCCATATGAATGTGGAAATATCACAGAATATATCGGTATTTATCACTGCAATTAAGGTTTTGAGACTGTCTGTCTCAGTACTGCATCGTGTGCCTCCAGGAGATATTTATTCAAGTTGCATCTTCTTCACACTCTACAGGGATTTTGCTTGGTACTGTAAATTATGAGGATTTTTGGGTGCAACTACATCTAACTGAGAAGCTGCAAGAGCCAGAGGTTGTAAGAGCCTGTCTTGTTGATATATATTTCCCTTCCCTGTATCAATAATGAGCTGCTGCCCGATAGTTTTGTCTCTAGGGTCAGATTTAAGTGGTTTAATCTCTGCCTTCATAAGGAGTGGGACTACCTGCCTTACCTCCATGGTAACAGAATCAAGATCTGGGCTCTCATGGTAACTTTGAGAAGCTTAAGCATTGGAAAATAAATAAGCTTTCTACTTGGTGAACAGTTGCCTGGCGGTGTTAGCTCAGTGACAGTCAAAAGAAAAGGCACAGTTACAAACTACGTGCTGCTGTTCTGAACCATTGGTTTGCTCAGAGTCTGAAATAATCCACGTGTGGTCAGTGTAGCACAAAAGGAATAGAATAAAATACACTGAAAATACAAAACCAAAGGAAAATCACACTGTCTAGTAGCATGGAACTGGTTCAGTGGAGGGAAATCACGGTATATTCTTCAGCTTGAAGAAGATTAACCAACCCCATAACACTAGGAAAAAAGTATAGTAAAAGAAGAGGAGGAGGGAATGGTTGCTTTGCATAACCTTAGATGTAAAGGGTACTCAACAAAATTAAAAGGCAAAAAATGTGGAAACAGACAAAAAGAAGTAAATAACATGTAATGAAAATATAGAATGCAGTTCCACAAGATGTCACGGCGTGCAGAAATGCTTCATATGGGGTTTGTTAAATCCGTGGAGAGTTAGGTGCATGTTAAACATGACGATTTGTGTGTGGCCTTTAGTTCAAGAAGTCTCTGCACGACTTGGAGAGTACACCAGGAAAAGATCTTCGGGTACTCCATCGATTTCTGTGTTTTTCTGAGGCGGCACCACTGGCAATCAGTAACTTCTCATGCCAGCGGAAGACAGGGCATGATGAATCCATCAAACTGACTCACAGTGGCTGGGTTTTGTCTTCATGTGTCCACTCCATACCAAAAATGTGTTCCCTTACGCTCGTTTTGCCCTGCAGGTCTGCTGCAGCAGTTCCGCTTTTTTCACGGATATGCCGGATATACAAAGCTCTTCTGTTGAGAGCGAGGAATTTTTTGCAGGCATTAAGGTAATTCTGAAAGAAAACATTTCCCTTTATCATAGTAGAAAACTTGCAGAGCTTTGCTCCAGCAGTCAGTCTGCTGTCTAGAAGGCACTGAGAACGTATTGATGGTGAATTAATAGCTGTTGGACCTCTAGTTGCATTTTTGATTCTGCAGGTATAGTGAGCTGTGCTGTGAGCTTACAGAGGAGAATCCCAAGTGAAATACGGTGCTTCCAAATTCTTTTGGGACATTGTCGCCTCTAGGTAGCTTCCTCACAGAATCACAGAACGTTAGGGGTTGGAAGGGACCTCTGAAGATCATCTAGTCCAACCTTCATCCCAGCACACCTAACCACTACACCACAGCCTCAAGTGCTAGATCTACTTTTTTTTTAAACACCTCCAGGGTTGGTGACTCCACCACCTCCCTGGGCAGCCTGTTCCAGTGCCTCACCACTCGTTCAGTAAAGAACTTCCTCCGAATATCCAATCTAAACTTACCCTGACGCAACTTGAGGCCATTTCCCCTTGTCCTGTCATTAGTAATTAGAGAGAAGAGACCAGCACCAGCCTCACTACAGCCTCCTTTTAGGTAGTTGTAGAGGGCAATAAGGTCTCCTCTCAGCCTCCTCTTCTCCAGACTAAACAAACCCAGTTCCCTCAGCCGCTCTTCACAGGGCATGTTTTCCAGACCTCTCACAAGCCTTGTTGCCCTTCTCTGCACCCGCTCCAGCACCTCGATGTCCTTCTTATGCTGTGGTGACCAAACCTGGACACAGTACTCGAGGTGAGGTCTCATGAGTGCCGAGTACAGGGGCATGATCACCTCCCTCCTCCTCCATTCCCCCCAGACACTGCACCAAACTGTTTGTATTTTAGCTTCCAGAAGTTACCCAGAGAATGCATTTTCATGTTGTTAGTGTAATTCCTTACCTTTCTAGCTTGCATTTACTCTTGCCTTTTACTTATCCTTGCCCCTTATTCGTACCTCTTCCAGACTCTTGCTGCTGGGTCCTCATCTTCTCTCCAGTATGCCACTGCTTCAGAATATCTAAATAAATCTGATCAAGTGGAGCAGGCTGTTCCATCTCTGTATTTTTTTTTCATTGTACTCCTAGCTGGTTAGTAAGCAGTGCTTACTAGTAGTAGTTTACTCGCAAAGCTTATGTTTCAAGTACAATTTCTTCTATGCTAGATACATCCAGAAACATATGATATATCAGAAGATGGGAAAGAATACAAACTGACAATAGAAAGCAGCATTCCTATTCTTTGTCCTGAGTTTAGCCAGCTTGAAAGTGACTGCAAAATCTCACTAATATTAAATACTGTTGATGAAGGTAAGTATCATCCTGATTTTTGTTGCATTTTATGTATCTAATGTGTTTTTCTAAACATTTCTGCTGGTCTCATTCTTTTGAAAAGCTGTTACATTCTAAAATACTTGCCAAAATGTTAAACTAAAATATGTATGTACTGCTACTGAAAGAACTTGTCTGTAATCCGTTACAGCATTTCTCTGTAATCCATTACTTGTTAAACTTAGTAGGTATTTTTGGCATCTATGGATATTGGAGCCATATTGTTTAAATTGGTTACTCAGAGTACCATAATACTTGCAAAGTTTGAAATTCAGTTCATTTTCTTGACCTGTTGTGTTGCAAGTATTGTATAGCAGTCATAAAATCCTAATTTTTTACAATTCATACTGTTTTCTGTATTACTTTCTCAATCATAAGTCCTATGAACCTGAGGAGCAGCTTTGCCTGTGCAGGCAACCATTTATTTCTGTGCCACATTATCAAGCCTGTCATGATTTCCATCTGTGTATCGAACTAGAAAATTCAAAACCGTTTTCTTGGGGGCGTGTATGGAGATGTAGAGAGGGGATTTTGCATTTGCATAATTTATGAAAATGTAAATAGGTTGGTTTCTGTACAAACAGTAGTATCGAAATGTGACTTTAGAGGAAAACTCACTAATGATGTGTTTTTATTGAAACAGGTAAAGAGCAGTTAGGTTTAAACTTGGCTCTTTCTTCATGTCACGTGGATCTTCTTCAGAAACCGTGCAATAACGGAATCTGTAGCCAAGCTGTAATTTATTTCACTGCTGTCACAGACTTTATGCAGGATGGAGACAGAATTACCAGAATTGCAGTCGAACCTATATCCAGTGAGAATTTCCTGTGGAATGGCTACGTTCCAGAAAGCACACAGGTTGAAAATCTTCGTGTTTAGCTCTGTAAACTGGCCAGATATGCAGCTCCTGGTAATGAAACTTCTATTTCAGTTGTGACTTGCTGACTCACACTGAAATCTCTAAGTTGTCAATTTTCCATTGTTTTATTGTCATTGAAATGCTGCATTTGCATTTGATTTTTTTTGGTTTTTACATTTTAATATGGATATTACTCCTCAAATTAATTAAAATTATAATGTAATATATTTATTGGAATGCCATCAACTATCATCAGATAAATAATTTACCTGAATCTGTTTTATTTCTTAACCTGACATAGTTTACTATGTGCTTCTTTGTTTTGAAGATCATGGTAAAGGATCTACCCACTGCCTACTGCTACTCATTTACTGACCCTCATATAATTACATTTGATGGAAGGTAATCACTGGATTGCTGCTTTTAATTTTAAGCGTGTTGGGATGTTTTGCGAGTATTTTTGTGGGGTTTATTATTCTTTTTTTTAGTTTTGGACTTCATTTCTTTATTTAAAATCTCTGCTGCTGATACATGATGTAGTTTTCCACGACTGACTGCACTCTCTTTCTTGGACAATGCGGGTAAAGACGCTTTAGTTAGTCACAGTGATTGCCAGTCATAATCTTGTTTGTAATATTTGTATTTTTAAGTCAAAATCTTGGGATTGTGGCAAAAGGCTGAGGCAAATGGGCTATTTTCCTTTTTTAGAGGAGTACACTGAGAGAGGAGTGCTTGCTGTACAATCCGTTGCCTGTGCAAGAGAGAAATGCTATTAAAAATGAACAATGATTGTTTAGGCAAAACTGTTTTAATGCAAAGGTGTTTCCAGTCTGTAGTGTAGTTTCCCTATTTCCATGTGTCGGTATCGGAACCCTTGAAAGGATCAAGCTGCCAGAAGCTCTCTGAGTTCACTAATGGCGTTGAAAGCTGTCGCTTGTGTGTCACAGAATCACAGAACCACAGAATGACGGGAAGGGACCTCGAAAGTTCATCTAGTCCAATATGGCGTTGAAAGCTGTCGCTTGTGTGTCACAGAATCACAGAA